CGCTGACTTGGTTGGTTCCGCCCATGTGCTGTTGAACCTATGTCACTAGCATGGCCGCTGCCGCGCACGCGCCTCATGCATCTATACCCGGTTCGGTGTCTGATGAGCGGGAAATAGGGCCAGCAAAGGCTACATGATGTTTGTTCGGCTATTGAGTCCGTGGTCTGACTCTCACCTGCTTGCACACCCAACATCCCTCGGGCCGATTGGCTCGAGGGTATGCACACGACGAGGTTCGGGACCACGATGGAAGCCAGCATGGATCATGTTTTCGCAATGGCATCGTGTCGGCAAAGTGTGGCCACTTCATACTCTCTCTTCTTTCTACCCGGCCCTGCCCTGCCTTGCCAGGGTCATTGACTGTTTCGGTGTGCAGTGTGCAGACAAGGTAAAAAGGCTCGAGGACAATGTTTCAGGGGAAGTACCAGGTCTATATCAAGATGTAACAATAATATAATGGTTGTAAGAACAGGCTCATGCACCGTTTTCTGTACTCTTCTAGTGTTGTCGTTGGTTGTAACATCGTGTATAGTTTGAGGTGTATGTTTTGAAGCCTGAGCATCACTTTCCGCAGTACTTGACAGACTCCGAAGTTAGAAGACGGTTATTTATTACATGACGGATGATGGATGGTGTGCTCTCTACTTCTTCACGAGGCGTCCGATGAGGACATGGGACGTGCTGTCACCGCCTAGCGGTTGTTTTCGCTGGGCCGATGTCGATACAATGTTGCACCAGAGACTCGTGTTTTTAATTGTTTTCCACAACTTCATTCGCATCATCCACAACCACGACCTCACGCTTTCACAACTGCAGTCTGTAGGCTGCCATCCGAACTTATCTGTCGTTCTGGATGCTGTACTGCTCAAGATGGCTCTTTCTGCTATCTAACACGCATATAAAATGATCCTGCTTCGGTCAACGCTTGGTCTGCTAGACCAGCAGTGCTCACTACACGACCTGGCTGCTTCGGCTAGCATGCAGTGTCCGTCGTACTACGCCCAGTCCACCGCTCTCTGATGCGTCCAGCCGTGCGAGTATCGCAGAAAATTCGCATCTTAGACCTACAGCACATTGGAAAAGAGCTGCTTCTTAAGGCCGTGGAAGTATTTGAGCGGTCGGGTGGACAGACGCCCAGGGGAGACTAAACACGCTATGATGATTCAGGCACTTGAAAAAGGCCAGGCTTGCTTTTGATTCCCAAGCTCTGTTTATCAATCCATTCTGCAGGTATTGAGCCTTCACCATGCATGCATTGACCATATGCAAGCGACTTACCGGGCGTCCCTGGAAGGGCCATTCAGGGGTCGAACCGTGAGAACTTGCAGCTCATCGAGGCGGCCACCCACGACCTGCTCAATGCTCGCGACGCGAAGGAGACCCAGGCAAATTCGTTGCTCCGGCGGTAACACAGCATGGGCGTTGATCCACAGCAGCGGGTGGTTGGGACAATTGTGGCTATATTGACCTTTCGAAGACAGAGCGACGGACGACGGGTGACCCATATTCTTATCATTCTGATACTGCCGCCGCTGCGCCAGAGGATGATGGAAAACGTCTGAGATTCAGACGGGGAGCCCAGGTCAGGTTCCTATTGTGTCAATATGGAAATACCAAAACAGCCAATCTCAATTTCATATGGCCTTCTGAATTGAGTCCGAAAATATCCAACGCTTTGTTTTTTTTGCGACAAGAATTCATCGTCGAGAGGAAGTATCTGCAACGCGTCAAGCAACATACCTTCGCGACTAACGACGATAGACGCAGCTGATCAACACCCTCTAGCTGGGAAAACCGCTTCGGCTCTTCCTGGAAGAAATTGGTCGTGAACAACCCCCTTGAAACCCCCTTGGGTACGTACGGCTTTTTGTGTTTTCCAACCACAAACGAATACACTCTTGACTGCGACGTGCCTGAACAGCATGCCTGGCGGTGCTGACGGGTTCATGGAGCACATCGCTGAATACCACAAGCGGAGTCCGCGCTCCTTGATTGCGCTCCTATGATGCTGAGTCTGTCACGCGGTGCGATAGTGACCATGGTTGAGGCTTCTTGTCGTTTAGACCGGCCGCCTCTCGACCATGACCATGACTCGGGCCCCCGTCTACTCGACCTCAAAGCCTGGCTGATGAAATGGAAACAGATCTGCCCTGTTAGCAATTGGCGTGAGCTTGCTCTCAACCTTGACTGTGTCGGAAATGCAGGACCACGACGGTACATCTAGCAGCCATGAAAGTCATCTTTTGCGGGCCATCTATTCGATGCATGAAGACCATGACTTCTCACAGTCATAGTCCGCTCAGGATATACCACATGGTGGAACTCCGATATGCGAGGCTGAGGAAATGACGGGGCACATGAGCGGTACGGCGCGATCTGATGGGTGATCACAATTGATGCTGTGTGCTCCCGAGTCTCAGTATGGGATACAATTGGCGGAAAACTATGGATTTCATATCCAATGTCGTCTTACTGACACTCGCGCCGGACATGACTGACCTGTTCAAGATATATCGCTTAGACAAACAGGGCCAGCATCTAATATACGGGCGCTTCCAAGACTGGTCTGCGGTGAGTCTCAGCAAGGAAACGCAAAGGACGTTACAGACTTTGGAAATCGAGGGTACTGCAATGTCTGGACCCCGGAACTTCTGTCTAGACTTCTTTCGACGATCATCTTGCCAACAAAGTCACATTGACGGCACTCCTGAGCAAGGCAGAGGAACGGGGGTACCCATTCATGTTGTACTGTGCTGCTGACCCAAGAATCGCGGGTATTAGCTAGACTCACAAGCTCCACGAAAAAGCCAAGCTATCCACTCGGTGATTTTGGACGATAGAAGCCACGGGAAGGATACGTGCACAGATTTTGCAACTTCATGAGCGGGTGTGAGAACTTCAGCCGCAGAGGACGGTGGTGATCATGGCTTTTTCGATCCCTGTCTCTATTCTGACGAGTGTCTTCTGTACAATCCTGTCCAAGCCTTTTACTCACCGATAGCAGGTATCACCTTTGGTGCATACACAGCACGGCAATCATGGCACCCCTGCCGGTGTCAGGACCCTCGCAAACGGAGACACCGGGACAGTTTTTTGGACCACGATGCCGCTGTACCCATGCAAATCAGCGGCATCGGGCTGAACAGAATCCTCTTTCAGAGAGGATGCCAGCCGTGTTGTGACAGTCAAATAACCAAGAAACCTCGAGGCCCCGAATCTGCAGACTTCTTCTTCCTGGGACGTTGTGCTGACGAGTCCTCCCTTGCTGGGTTTTCGTCGAAGCTGAAATTCTTGCCCATGTCGTCATCGCTGGTCAATTGATAACTGAGTAGGTATTTGTGAGGAGTAAACTAAGTGGGACGGTGACAGCGATATATCCATCCTCTCAATGGTGTAGGGGTGGGTGTGCTCTGATCCAAGCACGCAGTCATGTGGCTGTATGTATGCTTACAATGTATGTTGACAAGGCATTCTCGATTCTGTTCTGAACCCCCCTCGCAGTCTCAACAACTCGTGGTGTTTGTATGTAGTCGATATGCCTCCATATTCTATCGGCCTTGCCCCTCGAAGGAGAGAGCTTTGACCGCCGTGCTTCAACAAGGAACTCTTCTTGCGGGGACTTTGAATGGGGCTTTCTTCAGGAAGTCAGTTCACTATCGCAGAATGAACATCATTTTGAAAACTCCTGCACGGACGATTATTGACTTTCAGAATGGCCCCTGGGAGTCCTCTGACAAGGTCAGGACCGGCGATGAGGTCAACCTTGGATAGAGCTGCGATTGGTCATGTCTTTCCTCACCCGGTATTCGAGTCTTCAGGACGTAACATGGACGCTTAGAGGTAGTCACATTGAGAGTCAGGGCATGGCCTTGCGCTCTTTTCTCGACTGTTCAGCTGTGTTGATGGGGGAAGATGAATGGTCATGTCACGTCAAACGGGGAGGGAGGTAATGGGACGGATATGTGGTGACAAAGAATGATTCCATACACAAGCGAGAGGGAGAGGGAGAGGGAGAGACAGATGCCTTTGAAGTCCCCATGTCCCACACGCCCACGTTCCTCACTAATCTTGGTGAAAAATGGCCTTTCAAGCTGATCCCGAGCGCGAGAGCATGTTCAGCACCCACCTCTATCGACGTACTTTATCTTCCCAGCTTCCTTGGATTTTCTGTCAGCGCCTCACGCCGAAAATGCCAATCGTTGAGCGTCAAGACCGAATGTTCTGAGGCGACAGTCGTCCACCTGGCCCACGTCTACTTCGAGCCATCCGAACCTCGACAAGTTTGCCCACTTCGCCGTCGTCGAGGATTTTGGGTTGGTGGAGGAGCCTCTTGAGTCGTCGGCCGGCACATCCGTGGCAGCCAGATCTTCAACCATTGGCAGGACACCCAACAGCTTCTAGATCGAGAGAGATGGCGAAAGGCAGTGACGTGGATCAAGTATCCCCAACCAGAAAAAGGGTCGTTGCTGGCCTTATCTCCGTCTGGGGTCCCCGAGTCCCCCAGGGATTAGGCGTGGTTGGAACGAAGTTGTCGCTTTCTTGAAGAGAGCTCGATTGGGTGGCTCAAGCTACCCACTTACAGTTCCCTAACGTGGTTGTCCCTGAAGATAGACTCGGAAATGGGAGTGCAAATGGGCTACAAGAGCTAGCACTGTTCAAAGGTCAGACATGGTGGACTTTGGACGTCAATGGGTTGAGGGAGGTGGACATCAATTGTGATGAGAGTAATATACCTATAGTTGTTCAATGACTCAGCCATTGGATGGCTCGAGCCTTTTGTCTTCCCGTCCACATTCACGATTTCAGAGGGAAAAAGCAGTATCTTGATTACCTTGTTATGTCGCCGTGCGTAGATCAATTCACACGCTGTTCAAGGCTCGTGAGCTCCGAGATACCCAACCAAAGGTTCAGGCTAGAGATAATTGACAACGCCGGTCTCATGTAGAAGAAGGAGTTTGCAACACGTGTGGTGTGCCTCCGAGGCCACCAGACCCAATGTATTACTTGCAATCCTCACATTCTTTCTTCGTTTCTTGCTGGGTCGGGTCGACATTGTCATCTGGCTTGGGCTCAGACTTGCCAGTCTCTACCTGGGCTTGTTGGGAGCTCCCCTTTCTCAAGCTCCGGTCGATATGCCCGAGATCTCTGCCCGGGTCGAGAATATTTCGAACTCGGTTCTTCAGCTCTTTGGTCTCTGGAAAGCCGCCTTCGCTCTTGCGGTCCCATATCACCGTATCAGTGGTTTGGATCCCTTGCTCCGTTGATCCTGTTGAAGTAGCAGTTCCGTCACTGGAAGTGTTGTTGACGACGTTTGTTGTTGTGAGCGTGACGGTGAACAATCCCCCCGTCGACGGAATCAGAGCAATCTCGCCAATGCTGGTGCTGAATGTCTGAAGTAATTCCTGAGCATACTGTAGGGAAGGATTGTCAGTGGCGGTCAAAGCTAAATTGGAAGAGTCGTGATGTTGGATAGATCCCAGTTTCATTGCTCATACGAGTCACGGCCAGGGTATCGACACTCACGTAAGCAGCCCTCAAGTTCCATTTACATTGTGTACAGAATGCGATCGCGATACGCGGCACTTTGACCAGTGAGGAAGCTTCGGTTGCCATGGTCGGTTGTGGTGGTAGGAGCGTAACGGAAACTGCGGGTTGTGTTGACGTGTTTCAAGGAGACGGACTTTATGCAGACATCAGGGGTTTGAGGATCGATTTGCTGCGGGACACTTGAGCTCGGGTACGGGTTCGGAGGCAGCCACCTTCAGGATACTGGACGAGTTGTTCGGTATATGCGGTTGATAGCTCGCTAGAAAGAAGGTCGCGTGTAATATGAGATCGGTCAATGGCCGCCTTGATCGATGATTATCGTCAAGTCAGGGGCTTTCGACAAGCTGGAGAATTTCCACAGAACGAGGTGACAGGTGGAGCTTGACACACTGATGCGGTTCAATGCAGATAGAATACGTACTCAGTACGAGGTACGGGTAGATCATCACCTCCGATATAACGGTAGAGTAGATCCCGTACTTGTTCGGAGAATTTCCCAGCAATCGTGGAGGGGAAGGAGAGTCCACAGTTGCTGCTCCAAGTGTCAGATACAACTGTCACACACAAACTTGTCAATCCCCTCGATTTCGAATGCTTCCTCATTGAAACCCAACCGGATGCCCTCGTTTGCCCTCTCAGCCGATAGGCAACTAGTTCCCCAGCAACTCGGTTGCAAAGTGCTCAATCATTTTAGCAGAGGAGAGAAGACCCCAAATTTAGTTACATACCCGGGCCACATGCGACGTGTTGGGATTTCTGACTCGGTTATTGGGAACATGGTTTCTAAGCGATGAGAAATAGGGAAGGTCGCCTGCATTTCCGAAGCAAAAAGGGGTTATCCTGGAGTCGTTGTTTGGGCACAGCGGTGTGCCCTGGTGCTAGGGGCAAGGGATCCCTGGGTAAGCGGGAAATCCCCAATCTTGTACACCCAAAGCGGGATTGGGTGGCCATATTTTGCCATAGACGAGGTTGAACCGTGTTGGATGGAGCTATTGCCGTCCATAGCATCGTCTACAGGGCATTGAAAAAAAAAGTGCCCAAAAGACCGATTGATCGTGTGGTAGATTCGATAAGCAGGAATCACGCTCTTGTTGCGGTGAGGAGCTTTATTCCCAGCAAGGATGAACAGTAAAAGCATGGTTGTGGAATTGACTTGAATTGGATTGCACTCAGGTAGCCTCCTACATAATCCTCAATGGAAAAACCCATTGTCGAAGTTGTCGACAGGACGAAGAGAAGCTGAATCTGTAACCAAGCACAAGGCGCAGCGCAACGTACATTAATACTCCGTGCTGCCTCTCCCGTTGTGGGTTGACATAAAAACCTGTTGCGATGTTGCGTGACTCTGACAATTGTGAACGCCTTCTTGCGCCGAATGCTTTTTGACTCGATCAATATGATACCACACCTCTCTTTGAGTGCTCCGTTGTGTCCCTTTTGTGACCCAATCCGAACAGCTTCAACAAAACTCGATTACATGACAGTGCAACACCCTTCACTACCTCCACTCTGTGGATTGTATGGATCTTCCTTCCTATCCACCTGTCCCCAGACCGACGGTACCATGTAATCTCGTGTTTGGTTGCAGTAGTTGATCAGGCTGTGGCGGCCAAACATGGTTAGTGGACGACCCTTGCTTTCGAACCACGCAGAGCTTGGAACTCTGCAAAACGTACCTCATGGATGCTTCTGCGACTTTGACACGAGGCCTCTCGAGATCTTCCTTGAGACGCGAATTCAGTTCTTGAAGCCGCCTAAGTTTAAGATCTGCCATGCTTTGTTTTTTGGACTTGGCATCGCCCCCATCCCGCACCGCATATGCAGCTGGCATGTTGGGTTCTTGCAGGAAAAGAATTCGTGGCGGTCGAAGAGGAAGGCGTGGTAGTCAAGGACGCAGGTGACGTCGAAGTCGCTGGCAAGAGCAGGACGTTCGAAATAGCCGGCGGGGATTGCGGTGTAGTTCTTGGTAGGGATACGTTGAGTGACTCGACGAAGGGTGGGAGTTGCGCGACGAACAACGGTTGGGCGTGGGGCTTCCGGCTCTTGTGCCTTCTCCTCGGGCTTCTCTTTGGCAATTTCGTTGTCAAAGTGTTCAGCCCACTGAGCCTGCAAGTTGTCGATGGCGCGGATCTCCTTGTGTTGATGGTGGTAGGAACGAGAGGAGCGATCGAGGACACGCTGGTCAGGATGGTAGCCTCGGCGAACGAGTTCTTTCTTGCCTGCGAGAAGATGGAATTAATAGGGATTGATTAGCAGGGGGAACTTAAACTGCTACCTTCCGGAAGAAGAGACGCCATATTGTTTTGGGGTAAGCGTGATGAGTGCGGTGGTGCAAAAGAACAGCTTGCGAAGTGCGTTTGTTTGGGTACACGTGACGAGACGTGAGGGAAAAAAATACGGTGACGCATTGGAAGACAATTTATATTCAGGAGGTGTCGCTCGGGGAAACAATGGTCCGGCAGAATCAGTGCCAAGCTGCACAACACAGGGCAGTGCGATTTCGACCACTTTTGACATCGTCACTAAGGCTCCTGTCGGCAATCATTCAGTCACAAGTCCATCTCTAGGACAGACTCATCGGCCATCTGGGTAGAGTCTTGAGAGATATCATTTGCTTGATCGTCTCTTCCCTCATCTCTCTTGTGACTCAACCAGCCGACAATCAAGATGCCTCCGCCACCCCATATCAGGCCTGAGAATGTGCTCAGGGTAAGGCAAAAATCCCTTTCAATTCCTGTCGCGCACAATGACTGACAGAACCCTTCAGCGAGCGCAAGAGCTCATCGCCGTCGACCAAACCCAAGCCGCTCTCAACGTCCTCCATGAACATGTCACCTCCAAACGTTCCCGGAATAGTCCCATCTCCTCCTTGGAGCCTGTTATGCTCCTTTTTGTCGAGTTGTGTGTCGATCTGAGAAAGGGAAAATCTGCAAAAGATGGACTTTACCAATACAAGAACATTGCGCAAAACACAAACGTGGGAACGATTGAGGTATGATGAATTACAACCCCGACGCCTATTGTTGTCTAATACATGCTGACCACTGCAGTTGGTTTTGAAAAAATTCATTGAGCTCGCCGAACAAAAGGTTCAGGAGGCTCAGGCCAAGGCCGATCAGGTCCAGTCGTCGCTTGAGTCAGCAGCAACTGCCACGGACCTGAATGTCGAAGACCTTGAAGCTACTGAAACCCCTGAGACTATCCTGCTCGCCACTGTCTCTGGCGAACAATCCAAAGATCGAACGGACCGAGCTATTGTTACGCCATGGCTCAAGTTTCTCTGGGAGACGTATCGCACGGTCCTGGAAATTCTCAAGAACAATGCTCGACTGGAGGTCATGTACCAGGGCACCGCTCATCAAGCATTCGATTTTTGTCTCAAGTACACACGAAAGACCGAGTTCCGTCGCCTTTGCGAACTCCTGCGAAACCATGTGCAGAATGCTGCCAAGTATTCCTCCCAGATGCATGCTATCAATCTGAATGAACCCGACACCCTGCAGCGTCATCTCGAGACACGTTTTCGGCAGTTGAACGTGGCAGATGAACTTGAGTTGTGGCAGGAGGCTTTCCGTAGTGTCGAAGATATTCACATGCTTCTTACACTATCCAAGCGACCGGCAAAGAACGTCATGATGGCCAACTACTACGAGAAACTCACAAAGATCTTCCTCGTCAGTGACAACTTTTTGTTCCACGCCGCCGCATGGAACAAGTATTACAACCTGCTACGACAGTCAGCAACTGCGGTTGCATCTGGTCAGTCTCCTAAGCGTGACAACCCTGTTGTCACCGAAGACTCTTTGACCAAAGCTGCCTCTTTTGTATTGCTCTCTGCGCTGGCAATCCCCGTCATCAGCACGTCTCGTTCGCGGGGCGCTTTGGTTGATGTCGATGAGGCGCGGAAGAACAAGAACAATCGCCTGACCAACCTCCTCAGCATGCCATTTGCTCCAACAAGGGCTGGACTCTTCAAGGACGCACTCAGCAAAGGTTTGCTCAAGCGTGTTCGACCGGAAATTCGAGACCTCTACAACATCCTTGAGGTTGATTTCCATCCTCTCTCGATCTGCAAGAAGATTTCTCCCATCCTGGCTCAGATTGGCTCTGACCCCGAGATGGAGAAGTATGTCCTTCCCCTGCAGCAAGTCATTCTCACCCGCCTCTTTCAACAACTCTCACAAGTCTACGAATCAGTGGAGCTGAGCTTCGTGACCCGGCTCGCTCAATTCCCTGCGCCATTTGAGGTAACTCCTGCCATGATTGAGAAGTTTATCATGAATGGTTGCAAGAAAGGCGATCTATCCATCAGACTGGACCATATTTCTGGTATCTTGGCCTTTGACTCGGACGTCTTCTCCTCGGCCAAGGCTCTACACCCGGGCAGCGCAGCGGGATCGGCAGAGAGCGAAGTTGGCTCCGTCCAAAGACTCCAGAATACTCCAGCGGAGATTGCACGATCCCAGTTGACAAGGCTGGCAAAGACTTTGCATGTGACTTGTATGTATGTCGATCCGTCTTACAATCAGGCCCGCCTAGCGGCGCGAGAAACCGCCCTCGCTCGTGCTGAGGCCGGAGCCGAACAAGAGCACCGGGAGACTCTGGAGAGACGTGTCATCATTGAGAAGAAAAAAGAAGCGGCTTCTGAAGCTTTCCAAAAGAGACAGAGAGAGGAAGAAACGCGTCGCCGTATCCGTGCCCAACAGCAGGCAGAGGCCGAGTCTCAACGTCTACGCGATGAGACTAGGGCTCGTGAGCTCAAGCGTGTTAAAGATGAACAGGCACGCATCCGACGTCAAGAAATAGAGAAACAGCTGGCCGAACTTCAAAGTGGCATGAAGATCGATCTCCACGACGTGAACATCGACGAACTTGATTCCAATCAAATTCGTTACCTCAAGTTGTCACAGCTTGAAAAGGACAAGAAAGAGAAAGATGAGCGCATCCGCATTACGGCCAAGCGTCTCGACCACCTGGAGCGTGCATTCCGCCGAGAGGAACTCAAGTACCAACAACAGGATTACGAGAAGCAGCGAGAGGAAGATATGAAGATCTACGAGCAAAAC